ATATAGATATTTATATATAGATATAAATTTCTATATATAGAAATTTATATCTTCATTTCAAGGTGAAGAAAAAAGTGAATTACTATAGAATGTATTACACTTATTAATACAATTTCCACAACTTTTCAAACCTCCATGGCTCATTCTCAAGTGAAAAGAAATTACAGAACTCGTTGATTTATACCCGTACTGGGTCAGGTGATAAGACAAATAAAGGTAAAAATATGGGGGATACATAGGGGGATAAATGGGGGCGAAGCACCTAAGAACAAAAGGTAACTGCGGAAGGCCTATTGGCCCATACGAGGCAGCTCCTATCTACATACAAAGATTAATCAGGTGTAATTGGCCTATTATGTTGGACAGTGTGTTCTGTGTTAGCATCGTTATGTTCTGGTCTTGTCCTTACTCTCATGGTGGGTAGAGTAAATAGTTCCGTGATTTGGGTGTTCATGGTAGGTTGTTCTATTCTCATGTGAATAGATATGGTATTTATTCAAATCTCCTCATTCTTTGGGGCACACGTGAGGAACACAAATGCGACTAAGTTTTCAGTTGCATATATGCCTGGAGACCGTTCAGGCTTGTTCGCATTTGTGTTCCTCACGTGTGCCCCAAAGAATGAGGTGATTTGATAAAATACCATGCCCAAGATTACCAACAGAGAGCAGGCGGGGGGATGGGAATTAGCCTCGGCTACCATCCTCTTTTGTCAAATCGTGTTGGTCGAGTGGTTAAGAGATCCTGTACATCAGATGCATTGCTTCTGGCGGTATGGGTTCGAATCACTTCTGGGGTGTGAGTTTTCAGTTGCATATATGCCTGGAGACCGTTCAGGCTTGTATATATGTATATATGTATATATATATATATATATATATATATATTTACATATATATTATATTTATAATTATATACAGTAGTGGCCAGGGGTAGGTGGTGGTGCCTGGCCAGGGGTGGGTGGTGGTGCCTGGCCAGGGGTGGGTGGTGGTGCCTGGCCAGGGGTGGGTGGTGGTGCCTGGCCAGGGGTGGGTGGTGGTGCCTGGCCAGGGGTGGGTGGTGGTGCCTGGCCAGGGGTGGGTGGTGGTGCCTGGCCAGGGGTGGTGGTGCCTGACCTGGGGCCAGAGGTGGTGGTGCCTGGCCAGGGGTGGTGACAGTAGGGGCTGGTCTGGGGTGCCTGGCCAGGGGTGGAGGGGGTGCCTGGCCAGGGTGGAGGGGTGCCTGGCCAGGGGTGGTGACAGTAGGGGATGGTCTGGGGTGCCTGGCCAGGGGTGGAGGGGGTGCCTGGCCAGGGGTGGTGACAGTAGGGGCTGGTCTGGGGTGCCTGGCCAGGGGTGGAGGGGGTGCCTGGCCAGGGGTGGTGACAGTAGGGCTGGTCTGGGGTGCCTGGCCAGGGGTGGAGGGGGTGCCTGGCCAGGGGTGGTGACAGTAGGGGCTGGTCTGGGGTGCCTGGCCAGGGGTGGAGGGGGTGCCTGGCCAGGGGTGGTGACAGTAGGGGCTGGTCTGTGGTGCCTGGCCAGGGTGGAGGGGGTGCCTGGCCAGGGGGTGGTGACAGTAGGGGCTGGTCTGGGGTGCCTGGCCAGGGGTGGAGGGGGTGCCTGGCCAGGGGTGGTGACAGTAGGGGGCTGGTCTGGGGTGCCTGGCCAGGGGTGGTGACAGTAGGGGCTGGTCTGGGGTGCCTGGCCAGGGGTGGTGACAGTAGGGGCTGGTCTGGGGTGCCTGGCCAGGGGGTGGAGGGGTTGCCTGGCCAGGGGTGGTGACAGTAGGGGCTGGTCTGGGGTGCCTGGCCAGGGTGGAGGGGGTGCCTGGCCAGGGGTGGTGACAGTAGGGGCTGGTCTGGGGTGCCTGCCAGGGGTGGAGGGGGTGCCTGGCCAGGGGTGGTGACAGTAGGGGCTGGTCTGGGGTGCCTGGCCAGGGGTGGAGGGGGTGCCTGGCCAGGGGTGGTGACAGTAGGGGCTGGTCTGGGGTGCCTGGCCAGGGGTGGAGGGGGTGCCTGGCCAGGGTGGTGACAGTAGGGGCTGGTCTGGGGTGCCTGGCCAGGGGTAGGAGGGGGTGCCTGGCCAGGGGTGGTGACAGTAGGGGCTGGTCTGGGGTGCCTGGCCAGGGGTGGAGGGGGTGCCTGGCCAGGGGTGGTGACAGTAGGGGCTGGTCTGGGGTGCCTGGCCAGGGGTGGAGGGGGTGCCTGGCCAGGGGTGGAGGGGGTGCCTGGCCAGGGGTGGAGGGGGTGCCTGGCCAGGGGTGGAGGGGGTGCCTGGCCAGGGGTGGTGACAGTAGGGGCTGGTCTGGGGTGCCTGGCCAGGGGTGGAGGGGGTGCCTGGCCAGGGGTGGTGACAGTAGGGGCTGGTCTGGGGTGCCTGGCCAGGGGTGGAGGGGGTGCCTGGCCAGGGGTGGTGACAGTAGGGGCTGGTCTGGGTGCCTGGCCAGGGGTGGAGGGGGTGCCTGGCCAGGGGTGGAGGGGGTGCCTGGCCAGGGGTGGAGAGGGTGCCTGGCCAGGGGTGGTGACAGTAGGGGCTGGTCTGGGGTGCCTGGCCAGGGGTGGAGGGGGTGCCTGGCCAGGGGTGGTGACAGTAGGGGCTGGTCTGGGGTGCCTGGCCAGGGTGGAGGGGGTGCCTGGCCAGGGGTGGTGACAGTAGGGGCTGGTCTGGGGTGCCTGGCCAGGGGTGGAGGGGGTGCCTGGCCAGGGGTGGTGACAGTAGGGGCTGGTCTGGGGTGCCTGGCCAGGGGTGGTGACAGTAGGGGCTGGTCTGGGGTGCCTGGCCAGGGGTGGAGGGGGTGCCTGGCCAGGGGTGGAGGGGGTGCCTGGCCAGGGGTGGTGACAGTAGGGGCTGGTCTGGGGAGTCGGCGGCAGAGTTATGTAACACTTCCTCCCACACAACCCCCCACCAATATAACCAACTGAGAGGAGCCTGGGCGCGCCGTTATCATTATAACACTGGCCGAGCCTGCCACCAGCGCTGTCCGGAGCCCGAGATAAGGGTCACAGCAAAGAGGAAAGACTCTACTCAACACTAAACCAGCAGACCAAAACCCTGTGTCTGGCCCCACCAACACTACACAAAGACACCACACACACCTCATCCTCCGGCTCCTGCAGCGCTCCTCGAGTACTCCTGCGGGATTCACGGGACGGTAGAGCACTTTTCCTCCCATTTTCAGCCACCGGATTCCCTCTCGTGGATACCATTTTACGCCACAAAGGAGTCCATCACCGCTACTGATTTCAACAACATACACACTACTGCCGGCCACTGTCCTCCGAGCAGTAAAGCAGTGCCGGCTCTCACGCCTAAATCACACCTCACACACCCTTACTTACTACTTATATTACCTGCGGCATACTTAAACTCGTCTTTTACGCTAGTAAATATATAAGGGAGAGCCAGATATCCCGATTGTAAGCAATATATTCTCAGCGGATGAATAATGTCAATGAATGGCGGGATAATTTAAACTGTGAATTTGGCGCGAATGGTCCGTCAGATTGTCCAAGCCCGCTACTGGCCTCCCCAATGTGTAAATTAAATATAATTTCCTATATAAAACCATATTTAAAGCAAAATATAGTAACTGCTATATATTTTTTAGTTGCCATACCTTAGACACAGAGATTTTATACAACATTACTTTATTGCAAAACTAAAAGTCAGAAGAATATATGCATTCATTCATAAACAAAGTGTACTTAACTTAGTCACTCAAAGTCACTTCAAATGTGTATCAAAATCAAGCAATACTTCTGTGTAATTCTTTAAGCAAAAAACTTTTATATGAAATTTATGTGCCCACGATATTTCAGTTACTATATTATCTACTGTAATGCAAATCTAAATAAACGAATCATTATGACAAAGTTAACGAAAAAATCCAAAACTATTGTTTTTATGTATTGTACTCTTGGACAGACTGATCATATTACTTTATAATTATTGTCTTTTTACGCTTATTACAGTAGTAAAGTCGGGTACGCTTTCAACATACAATAAAAAATTCCGGGTTCGAATCCCGGGCCGGGCAGAAATGATTGGGCGCGTTTCCTATCACCTAATGCATCTGTTCACTTAGCAATAAATAGGTACCCGGGAGTTAGTCTGCTTGTTGTGGGGTTATATCCTGGACGGAGTCAGTAAATTGGCCTTGTGGGGACCTCCATATAAACCTCCATATAAGCCATATATATATATATGGCACAACTCTCCTAAACACGAGAGTGAAGTATACAACTTTAGAACACTTTCCCACCAGGAGACTCGAACCCTAGCCAGCACAGAAGCCTTCCAGCAACTGGCATAACAGGTACGCCTTAACCCGCTCCACCACATTCCGGCCCTCTCCTCTTTCTCATCTACATTAATGACCTTCCAAATGCCTCCCAACACCTCAAACCAATTCTATTTGCTGACGACACAACCTTCATTTACTCCAGTCCTGATCCCCTTGCTCTAAATGCCACAGTAAATACTGTGCTAAATAAAGTCCATCTTTGGCTAACTGCCAACAAACTCACCCTTAACATTGACAAAACTTTCTATATTTTGTTTGGCAATAAATCCTCAAATCCTCAAATCCTCAATGTGCTGGCTAGGGTTCGAGTCTCCTGGTGGGAAAGTGTTCTAAAGTTGTATATATATATATATATATATATATATATATATATATATATATATATATATATATATATATATATATATATATATATATATATATATATAGAACCTAATAGACCCTTAATAGACCTACTAGAATCTCTGATAGTACTGCCACGGCTCTTGATCACATCTGGACCAACATAACCTCTCCACTTACTTCAGGGATAATCATCGATAGCACTACAGACCATTACCCCACATTTCTCTTAATTAACATTAACAAACCTCCTCTAGAGACAAGGGAGATAAGCTTTAGGCTGCACAATGAAACTGCCATAGGCAATTTTATAGCTGCTGCTGCTGCTAATGTCAACTGGGAGTCCGAATTAGGTAACATAGGGGACATCAACCTAGCAGTGCAATCTTTTCTTCAAAAAACTCTCAGCCTTTATAACACCCACTCTCCTATGCTAACGAAACAAGTCACAACTAAAAGGCTAAACAATCCTTGGCTTACAAAGGGAATACTTAAATCCATTAATAAAAAACATGACCTTGAGAAGAAGTATAGGTTAGGAATCGTCTCCAAGAATTTTCAAAGAATTACTCCTGGTTACCTGATACCTGGTTGATGGGGTTCTGGGAGTTCTTCTACTCCCCAAGCCCGGCCCGAGGGCAGGCTTGACTTGTGAGAGTTTGGTCCACTAGGCTGTTGCTTGGAGCGGCCCGCAGGCCCACATACCCACCACAGCCCGGTTGGTCATTGCTATCATTGCTCATCATTGATGAGCTCATGCTCATCATCACTCGTCATTGCTATCTAAAATAATTAGAAGAGCCAAAACAATATACTACGAAGATAAATTTACCCAAACAAAGGACAACATTAAGAAAACATGGAGCACAATTTCACAAATATTGGGATCAAAGAAGATTTTAAATAACAAACCAATACTCCTGTCCAATAACGATGGTCAGCTTACAGCCTCTGATTCTGCTATTGAGTTCAATAGGTTCTTCTCTTCCATTGGGTCATCCCTTGCAAATGATATTCCATCTTCCAGTACTGATGTTCAGGACTATCTTACAGGTAACTATCCACAGTCTCTGTACCTAACGCCTGCAAATTCCACTGATGTTACTGACATAATCCTTTCCCTTAAAACCAAGTCTAGTGCCCTTGAGGAGATACCAACTTTAATTTACAAAAAAGCCTCCAGATCTTTAGCCCCTGCTATTGCATTGCTCTTCAACAAGTCACTTGAACTCCAAACCTTTCCAGATATTCTAAAAAAAGCAAGAGTAACCCCTGTCCACAAATGTGGTGATCTCACAGATGTTAACAACTACAGACCTATATCAATCCTGCCAAACTTGTCAAAAATATTTGAAAAACTAATCTACAAGCAGCTTTACTCTTATCTAGCCAAACACAATATACTTAGCTCTTGTCAATATGGCTTCAGACCCAAAAAAAGCACTAACGATGCACTTATTAGTATGATTAACTTGATACCCTGCAATACCTCAAATCTTACGTTACTGACAGGCTCCAGTATGTTTCTGTGAATAATTAAATTTCTTCCACCCTACCCATCAACATTGGTGTTCCCCAGGGGACCATACTTGGCCCTCTCCTCTTTCTCATCTACATTAATGACCTTCCAAATGCCTCCCAACACCTCAAACCAATTCTATTTGCTGACGACACAACCTTCATTTACTCCAGTCCTGACCCCCTTGCTCTAAATGCCACAGTAAATACTGTGCTAAATAAAGTCCATCTTTGGCTAACTGCCAACAAACTCACCCTTAACATTGACAAAACTTTCTATATTTTGTTTGGCAATAAATCCTCAAATCAAATAAATCTCAGGATTAACAATACCCAAATTTGTAACTAAATAGATGGCATATATATATATATATATATATATATATATATATATAAAACTAAATATATATATATATATATATATATATATATATATTTTTACACAGGTATATATATATATATATATATATATATATATATATATGCCCCGACAGGTACAGAGGAGTGTTGTTAACGCATATATATATAAAACGCTGAACTGTAATGCCAATCCTGACCTCAAAAGCTTCATTGACGGTTGTAACAGAACCCACGAGCACCACACCAGAAACAAATACCGTTTTGATATTCCAAGAGTACGACTTAATCAAACTAGAAATGCTCTACAAATCAAGGGACCCAGAATGTGGAATGACCTTCCCACTCATGTTTAAGACTGTACCTCTCTCAACCAGTTTAAGATAAAAGCTAAGCACTACCTAATTAACTCCTTGTAACCTACCTTACCCCTATAATGTCAACCCATGTCTGTTATTCTGAAACAATGCTGTTTGTCGACCAAATTGTATTTTTGCTGTTTTTCTGCAATGTTCCCCCTTTTTTTAATTTTTATATTGTCTCAACACATTTTATACTTTAATCTCAATTAGTATTAAGTTTTAGTCTTTAGTGTTTTTCCTGCCCGAAACGCTTTGCGTAATAGTGACTTTAGGCATTGTATGTACTAACTCTATCTATAAATTCAGCAATATTTGTATCACCCCTTGTATGTATGTACTTTACCTGAATAAACATTTGAATTTGAATTTTGAATTTTTTGAAAATATAGAAATAAGGAAATAAGTAGTGTACCACATCAAATTGTTTGAATGTGTGATAAAGGTATGATAGAGTACTTAGGAGCTACAAGAATTTTGCCCAAGAGTGTAACACTTATATGCTGTGCTTCCTATATTAACCTGCAATGTTAAATGGGATTCTTGTATTGTGATTTGTGTATTTGTACTCACTGAATTTGTGCGCCCCTTGAGGGACTTGAAGTAGAGGAAGAAATAGCCTAAGCTACTCTATTCTTTTGAGATGTATTTTTTTCTTGTCTCAGTACATGGGGACCAAATTATCTACCAGTACCGGCCAGCCATGGTAAAATCATCAGACACTACAATAGATTCACTTGATGAATTCTTCAGATATCGCTAAAAATCAGAGAAAAAAAACAAAATTAGTAGAAAATTTACTTCAGGGAAAAGTTTTCTAGGCTATAAAAATCGATTAAAACCATCAAGTTATTTTCAAGGCCCTAAATATGAATGTGAGTAGGCCTGTATTATTCATGGAAGACTAGACCAATTCGTTTTAGAGATCTTGTATAGACATGATAGGCTACGGTGGGATAAAACTAGTTAATACATTTGCTAAACTACATCTTGACATTTCATAACGAAAGTGTTTCAACAGAGATCAGACCATTCAACAGACCTAGCAGTCTCCGTGGTGTAGTGGTAAGACACTCGCCTGGCGTTCCGCGAGCGCTATGTCATGGGTTCGTATCCTGGCCGGGGAGGATTTACTGGGCGCAATTCCTTAACTGTAGCCTCTGTTTAACGCAACAGTAAAATGTGTACTTGGATGAAAAAACGATTCTTCGCGGCAGGGGATCGTATTCCAGGGACCATAGGATTAAGGACTTGCCCGAAACGCTACGCGTACTAGTGGCTGTACAAGAATGTAACAACTCTTGTATATATCTCAAAAAAAAAAAAAGAGATGCAAATATAGTGAATTAAGCGTCTCGAAGCGCTGCTCGGAACGGAACAGGCAAAACTAGAGAAAATATAAGTGACAGAA